TCACCAAGGTTTCCTGTAGTTACGGAAAGGCATATTGTTATGAATGTTTGAGACTGTATTTGCTAAAGGCTAAAGCCAAGCTATAAAAAACTCCTAACTTCTTTAATGTGAACTTGCCGTTTGGCAGAACGATAGGGGCCAGTGCAATGAGGGTGTATCAAAAAAAGACATTCTTAGGAAAGCCATCAGCAAACATATTCTGCTGACATTAAGTGTGTTGCTGTTTGAAGATGTCCCTGTCACAATTAAGCATAATTAATGTAGCTTCACACCTGACATTGTCATAATGATAGGCTGCTAGAAGTGATTCAAACGTTCAGCATTCGTTGGTGTATCTACTGATTAATGCATTTGTTAAACCAAGACTTTTCTTTTGAAATTGTGAAATGGTTTTACAATGTGTAGGAGAAATATGAAGGGCCTGGTTGTGGTTTGAAGCTTGGTTTTATAGCACAATTAAACTTTCTTTGAGGGAATAGGATTATATGTGGATTTACCTTTTACATCCTTGTGCTTTGTCAACACCATCCCTTCTTATAAAATCAGACACAGGCCTGTGCATCACATTCAAAGAGATTAGTTCAAATGGGCAGTTGTTTTCTATGGTTTCAACAGCTTTTTGGAAATACCTCAAATCTACTTTGACTTCCTGTTCAAGAATAACTCTCTTAAAGGATATTTTTTCTAAGACGGCTAAGGCATGCAATGATACTTCAATGAAAACAGTGTGGCATTAAACATCTTTTTTAAAGTATTAACACAATAAAACACTGACAGAGAAAGATTTTATGTTGCACTGTGCTGAAGTCATTCACAGAAGTATAATATGTAATATGCAAGTACTGTATGTGTCATACACAGAGATTCTGTATATAATGAGGCAAGTTGGCATATCTGAAATACAATCACTGTGAGAGGAAAGATACTTTTTTAGTGGGAACATGTAGTCTATAAAAGCCTGAAGGAATAAACCAGACCTATTCAGGGAGTGCAACATTCTGCAATACAGGCAGTTTAGTACAGCTGAATTGTTCCCCACCCTGGTCTTGAAGTACCCCAGTGTATTATGATTTTAATTTTAATTGAGCTTTTTGGACTTTTTAACAGTTTTTAACTGTGTTTCAGAGCCACCCAATTATTTAAACTTACCCATTTATTTAAACTTCATGTTTAGTATTGAAAGCAATTTGGCTTTCATAAATTTTGGGTGTGTATTATAGGAACATTAATTACAATGTGTTGCCCATAATTAACAATGAGGAGCAATTCAGGTTTACTGGACAGGGCAAACTGAGGATTATTCTTTTTACTAATTTTCCTGGCAATAATATATCAAAATATATCCTGGCACAATATTTGTAAGACCAAAGACTAAGGGTAGACCAGATTCGAAGGTCTAATCAAACTTATAATTCAATTAATGAATTTAAGAAACCCAAATATTTTAAATTTCAGTTGGAATGAAAAACTGAAAAGTCCATACCAGAGTTGGGAAACAGCGACATACTGTAAAAACTGATGTCTACTGGTTTCAGGGTTTTTTTTAGGAAGTAAGGAATCAACAGCTCTCAGTCTCAGTGGACATTGTCTGAAGAAAAGAGGCATTCAAGTACAATTTACCCAGCAAAACACTATAAGTGTTGTCCTGTCAATTTGATTAAAGAAAGCCAAAATCTTCTCTCACCGTGGTTTGAATAAAGCTATTCACACCATAATCAAACACAAACTAAATAATTTTTAAGGTACAATTGTGGTCAGCTTACTGGTACTTATTTGGCAAGATGAGGGTGTTACCATGACAACACTCTCTATTATCGAATTCTCTGGCTATTGGCTATGTGTCTGGGAGTAGGGGGATACCTGAGAGACAGCAATCAAATCCTGGATAAGGAGTATAGCCTGGGCCTGCTTAGTTGGCAAAGCTGTAGAGTCTACTGTCCAACTTTTAATACCTGATCTAAACTGTCCACCCTTTCAGCATTATATCATACAAGAGTCAATGACTGTGCTGGGTTAAGACAGAATCACAGCTGTATTACAATGTAATTTTTTGTGTGCAGATTTTTTTTTCTGATTGAAATGCATATTTACCAAGTGGCTTCTAGCAGAACAAAAAACAGTTCAAAATCTGCAAGGTCAACAAACTGCTCAAATCCAATTATACCATTTTAAATCTTTTATACTACTTCCTATACAATGTAAAATAATTTTAAAGAATACACCACTACAAGACATGGGTTAAAATATAAGGAATGATTTTGAGGAAATAGGTTTTGAAAGCTGAACTGTGACATTATCTTGTTTACAGTAAATAACTGACTTGCACTTTCATGTCAAATCATCTTGCTCAAAATAGATTACAATACTGTATGTCTTAATTATAAGATTATTTTATAAATTAATATAAGTGTGGTTTCCCATTTCAGGAAAAATAAGAAACACACATTTCAAGAAAAATAAGATCTGAGATAAATTAAATAAGACAAGTATTGTACAGACAAAATATCCAGTTTGGTAGTCATCCACCTAAATGTACAGTATAATTAATACATTCTATAGAAAAGCAATGCCAATATTTAAGTAGTCATAGACAGTTTTACCCTAAGACATGTAATGATTCTTTTCCCCAGACAAATATTATTGATCTAATTCATGCTATGCATCTTCATTGAAATTTAATCCCAATAAAATGAACTCATGTCTGATTTTTTTATGTATTCGACAGAAGTATCACCTGGGTCACATTGACTCATCATCCTTTCTGACCATCCCCTCAGACAGAATTTCACCTAGAACATGATGGTTCAGCACATCATCCCTAAATGACCATACTGTATAACAATAAGGTTCCCTTATTGCTCTTGCAACTGTCTAGGATGAACCTAAGGCAAAAAAAATGTGTTGCTTACATTTCACACTGAAATCAAATTATTTGATCAACAGAGACAAGAAGAGGAAGTTCGGGTCACATGCAGTATCTAGAGCTGGATCATAAACAAGATGCAAATTATTCTAACTGTAAGCTTTTAGCAGGCGTTAAGGCAAAGCTTGCACTAGAAATATAAAAATGACAAGTAGAGGCTAAGTGCGTGCTGAACAGCAGAAAGAATGAAAATACATTCAGCAGTTTTTCAGCATGAACTTACCCTCGACCTTTGCAGCTCCCAATTCAAACCTCAAAGAAAAATTACTCTTTCTTAATAAATACTGTATAAGCCATATGAGTATGATACTACACAATTTTCAAATGTCATTATATAATGAAATACTGTATATTGGTAATGGAAATGTTTTCCCAGTGTAATAAAAACATTATAATTTAAAAGACAGCCTTAAGAAACTATTGCAATATCAGTTCCTGTTTGTATTTTGCTAGGAAGAGAATGATTCATTACACCTTTTGTAGTCGTGACCACACCAGCCCTCAAGAATGTTCCGAAGGCCTAATTTATTGGTGGTCTTGTTTGTGTGTGCAGAGATGTCAGCACTGCACACTGTGTTACTTTATTATTAGATCCTCTTCCTATCTGTCATGGGGCTCAAATCCATTTTAATGTCAGCTCTCTGGAGCTCCTGTATCTTTTAAATCTGTTTGTATTATTTATTAATTTCTGCAGACGTTTGATAAAAATACGTAGTCTATCAATAAATGGGTGGGGAAATGAAGAGAACAGTATCTGAAAAACGAATCCATCAATATCTCAACAGCTGCGAAGCACAGGCTGCTTTTGTATCCAAAAGTTTTGCTTCCGTGGTTTATGTAACACACCTCTCACTAAAACACTTCTATTGTCATTGCGAAGTATAGTACAGTATCCAGGCAAGGTACCTGCTACATAAAAAACAAGGAAATCACGTGATAAAGCACACTTGTCAGTTAAGGATTTTATGTAGTGCATTTCTTTGCTTTACTTGCTAATTAAAATTATTTTTAATTATTTATTGTAGTGGTAAGTATGATGTTTCATTTAAAAGTGTAAATATAATTCGCAAGAGGTGGTTTTTACTGTCTGTTTGCAATTTTACTGTTTGTTCTCCTTCCGCGTTTGAGAAAGTGACTGTACAATTGATTGTTTTTAACGGTTGAGCTTCTTTTTACAAAACCGTAGTTTAAGAGCAGTGTTATTTAAAGCAATATTGCAACGAACGCGTTCATGTAGTTTCGATTTACACTGTCGTATAATTAAGGGGCAGGTTTCCTCAAAGTTGCTTACTGATACGTGGAAGCGAGTGGATGCTATTCCTCTTTTCGTTTTCTCACAGTTAAAAGTATTATTAACATTATACTTCTCGTTGTTGCTATTATTTATTAAACGACTTTTAACTGAGATCATATGATTACAATGTGATATAATTCACGGATTTTAATGATATTTTGATATGCGTATGTTTATTTGACTATCCACAACTGAAATCTACTGTAATTGTTTTAATGTATTTGGAATAAGTATCAGTATATTCCGAATTGCCAAGGGCTGTCATGGTGTGCTGTCAGTGTTTCCTGATTAAATGTACATTTAATTGAGACAGTAGCAGCTATACAGTATGTCTCACACAAGCTTTTTTTTCATTCTGTGTTGGCCCTTTCTGTCTGAATTAATTTACTTAAAAAGTCTTTCGTAAATGAAATCATATTTTCTCACAGCTCTGAAGCCTCTGTTTTCGGTAGTTCATTTTGTTAACATAGTGTTCGATGAAGTTGTTAGGTGCCATAAATTCAGGCCCTTGTCATTAAGTAGCAACATTAGAATTGCAATTTTAATATATATGTTGAACAGGTATTCTTTTGTGCATGTTTTATTGCACCACATCAGTAGTTTTCTTTTTTGTTCTATGTACTTTATCTCTGATGGCAGAAGTCTGCTTCCCTATTTGTTACACTTCCTTCTATGTTTTACTAGACAAACAGATTTAAGGGTGACTAAAAAATGTAACAATATTGACAGGCAAATGTAAAGTATATGAATCCATCTCCACTTAGTATTGTTTTTCTACTTTAGGGCATAATGTCTGTTGAGGCGGAGGCTGGATTCAAAGCAGTTGAGCTCGGAGCCACCCAAGACCCAGAGCAGGACAAACCTGACGCCCAACTGCCAGTGACCACAGAGAAGAGTGAAGACCCACACCTCAGCAGTGGGGTGAAGCCGGGGGACAAGATAAACATGCTGGAGCAGTACAAGCTGAGAAGATTTTTTGTCCTGAGGGTAATGTGATTTAACAAAAAACAACAACTCATGTGATTGCAATTATTCCTTCATTTTGTTGTCCTACGAGTAATTAGTAACAAAGAGATCCAGCTCTGAGTGAGATCCTGGAGGCTCATAGAAGCTATGAGTAATTACAGATTGTTACAAATTGAGCACACTGTGGAGGTTTTCGGATGTGAAGCTCTTAAACCGTTATTACATATTTAGGTTTCATAGCAGGATTTCACCCCCTTCCCTGGCGAGTATTTGGCAAGTCCTGTTACATCCTGCATGAACTTAAACATTGCCTTTGTTGAATTAATCTGAAGTTTTCACACGTGTGAGGGTGGTGTTAAAATTAAATGATAAACTGGGCTAAGACTCTTTATCAAAAGTACCAAACATTAGCTTGTTTGATAAAACCTACAGCTAACTAACAATGCCTTGAGTTTTTCCTTGAACTCAATTGCATATGAAACATATACATATAATTGGCAAACCTTACTGTAGTTTAACCTTTGCCTAATTGTTGTATTTTTATTTTTAGAATATTTGAAACTTATCTCCGATGATTTTGCCTTTCTTCGGTCCGTCCTTACTGTAAGGCTGGAAAAACTAGCTTTCCCTTCCTTAATAGTAGGAATCCACAGGTATACTAAAAAGTATGTGAACCATACTACCAGTTTAAGATCTGAATATGTACGATAGGCTTAGATGCATCTCTTAGATGCATAGATCACCTTAAATTACATTATTCCTGATTTAAAACATGTGCTAGTTGCTACTCTCTATTTCATTATAAATGCTGCCTCCTGTATGTTCTTTCCCAGTTTATTTATGAAGGAAGACAAGCAAAATATTAAAACTGTTTTAGTATCTCAATTTATAGTTACTCAGGGGTGTCGTTATTTATGTGCAAGTTCAAGACTGCTTTTTTCCATTAAAGCTGTAATAAGACAGCCAAGGATTGAACACCCCATCTTTTAGACTTCCTGTCTGTAATAAATATGATTGGGTTTAATCAGATACAAAGCAAGTGGATTTCCTGCAAGGCTGTGCAATACTAACTTAATTAGTCTGGGATCCAATTTATTGACATGTCAACACCTTGTCAGCCGGAGCAGTGCAAATTTATAACAGTGTACAGATACCAAGAAAAAAAGGATACTAAATGACACAAGTGGTCCTTCAGTGAATATTAGAGTAACATCAGTTCCATTGCATGCAATATTTTAAAAACAGCTATATTAATTTGTAAAGCGCACACTGAGGGCTGTAGGCATTTTGTATCTAATTTTAAATCAAGATTTGTGTCCATTTTGGATGGTAATCACCATGTAAACTGTCACAGTGATGGAAAAATGTGGTTGCGCAAGAAGTATAATTTTATTGAAAAACTAATACTCCTTAGAGAAATGCACATTTCATGTATGAAAACAGGCATGGAAGGCCTTGATCGAGAGAGAACAGGAAAAATAATAATGAATCATTCACTTAAAGATTCCTGAACAATATTTAAATTGTCTTTGTTAACAGTATAGCCCTTGCATCATACTGTACATACATGACAATCCAAACATGGTTTTATTCAGGCATTCAGGTCTCAGTGGCAGCATTTGACTTCATACATGATAACACTGTTCCTGGGACCAGTTAAGGCTGAAATACATTATTGAATCTGTTTAAAGCTATTTTGCCTGTTTCTTCTGAATAAGGATTGTATCTAGAATTGTATACATGTTGGTCCCTGAACAAAGAAAGAATCTGAATAAAAAGTGAAAAATTCTCCTGACAGACCTAAAAAGAAAAACAAAAAGTAGCTCCACAAATATGAAAAAATACATCTCTTTTCCACAAATCTAATAATAAAGTGCCTTTAGTGCCAAATACCTGATACATCTTAGAATAGGAATACAGAGGAAAAGATGGAGTGTAGGCTGTAAATCATCCTCTCCTGTCTTGTCTGTCCTGGTATATTCTTTCTCTCTCTAACTTTCCATTGCTTTTTTAAAAAATAGCATTGATGACTTGGACAGCGTGGGAAATTTCTGAGGAGATTCCAGCCAATAGTAAATATATAACATTCTGTAGTTCACACTTTATTCGAAAAAATATTTTTGAAGTCTGTAAGACAGTTTGTTTGTGGAACTGCATGATAAAATTAATTATACTGTATTTCTTTGAAGGCTCTGACCCCTGCATTTATATAAGCCTCACTATTACAGGAGAATTTTGTGAGAAAACTGTACAAGATTCAGAAGAGACTAAAACAGTTTTTGGCCTGATATTTAATTTGTGTTGCTTTTTTTTACTTAAAACAAAACAGCCCACACTATTTCAAATACCCAGTCCAGGTACATCAGGATTGTCTCTTTTAATGAATTTAATGAATGAAGTTTTTTTTCCTTCCCAGCCTGGTGCCCTTGATCAAGCAATTGAGGATATAAAGTCACTGGTTGACAAGCACCAGGATGGCAGTATTCAGAGTGTCTGGCTCATGGCAGAGTGAGTTTTTCTTCTTAGTAATTCAAAAAGTTTAAAATATATATTTTTAATTATGTCAAACTCTAAGCTCTTACACAATGGACCTAGAGTTCACATATTTTTGTTCTCCCTTGAAAATTTTGAACTGTCATCCATAATTTGCAATATTGCCTTTAGTCAAGATTTTCTTTCAGTAAGAGGTTTTTATATGGTTGAAAGACAGTGTGCTCTACCGGAAAGGTATTACGGTAATGCATTAAAAAAATACTAAACAAAACGTTGTGGGATAGAAAACACTATGTATTGAACCAAAATGTAGGATGTGCTAACGTAATGCACACATTGGCAATATTCAGAATTGTTTTCTCTGCTTATTTTAATGATTGATTTCTACTGCTCATTATTTGCTTCATAACACATTATGCTTCAAAGTGCTAGGTGAAAGGAGATATATCTTATACACAGGCTAAGTCACATAACTAGAGAAATTATGTTCTAATAACAAGTTCATCAGTACAGAAATCAAATGGAAATCACATGCTTATTGGAGGTATGAACAATCTGCAGTAGTATAAAAGAAAAAAATTACAGGACACCTTTTAGATATTGTACATGCACAGTGTTGTTAGGTAGAAGACAGGCAACATGATTTTTGTTTCCTGTGAAAACACTGAGGAGAGTTGCTTCCTTTCAAAAGTCTTAAAGCTTTAAAGAAACATCTGGAAGCTTTAAGTACATAAGAACATAAGATGTGTTAATAATGGGAGGAGACCCATCTATCTTGCATGGTTTACATTAGTTAATTGATCCAATTGTAATCCTTCTAGAAGGAACAATGTGGCTGGGTACCCTGTTCCAGACTTCCACAATTCTTTGCTAACAGAATCCAATCTTAAATCTAAACAGTTTCAGTTCATTTCAATATTCATCTGAATGTTGTATGGAAGAAACATTATAGCTGGTAATATTGCTTCTTCATCCTGAAGATGTTAATTGTGTTATTTTATATGGATCATAAACTGCGGACTCATGAATCATCTTGTCATTTTCATGTAAATATGAACTTGGCAGACTTATTATTTTTAATATGTCCTGTGTTTTATATGGAGTGTTTTTTTTTAACCTGAAAGATACAGACATACTCTAAGTGAAGTTCCTCTTGTTGGTTGTACAGTGTGGTTTGTATGTCAGTAACTTTGAGCTGTGAACCTGTGACATTTATTGTCATGGCTGTCCTTGCCAAAACATTGTGGTTGCAGTTTAGAGTTTGCTGTTTGTCACATCTAAACTAAAAACTTTGGAAATAACAAATAGAAGTGTTGAGCTTTGAATTCCACAATGGCAACAAATACAATTTTAGTCGCCACCACTTTAGCTGAAAGCTATTTTTATGAGCACACTGCACGTTAGCACCATAATAACTTTGAGAAAGTGTTGGCACTTTGGAGAATGTGACAGACCCTACCCTCAACATAGGCAATCCAAAGGGTTTTTATGCACAAAAAATGCACAATGGTCATAAGAGGTGAACTCCAGCAGACTTTATTATAGACCTTTATGAGTTCTTGTAACAAAAGAATGGCATTCATATAGTGTATTGATATACAGTATATGAATGGCATTCATATAGTGTATTGATATACAGTATATGCACATTGTAAAGCGGCCTCTACTGGCAAACTGTCTGTAACTGCAGCCCTTTCTTATACAAAGAACATGTCAGTTGTTCATACTGTAGGATTATTATTTTTACAACTCATCAGTATATTTTGTTTCATGAAGCTTAAAAATGACATTGAAATGAATCCTGAAACACAGATAGAGGATACAAGTGGAATCTGCATGGAAATTCTTTTAAACAGGAATATGGAACAAGCTAACCAGTTATGTTGTTGAAGCTGATGCCCTAACGTCTTTCAAGAAACAGCTGAATGAGACCACTGGATCCATTAATTACTAACTTACAAACAGGCCAGGTGGGCTGAATAGCCTCCTCTCCTTTTGTAACTGTTCTTGTATTATTAACAAATCCTATTATTAACAAATTATTTTGGGTCAGCATTGTAGCATTGACAACTGACCTCTTTGTATTCTCAGTGTAAAAAATACGTGTTGCAGCTGCTCTTGAATTGTTGGGTAATTCTGTATTCTAGGAGTAACCTATGCCTTGTGTTGGCTTGTTATGAGTTGCGTAGTAGTGCTAAACAAATAATTGACCAGTTTCTAAAAAGCCTAGGTTGATAGGCATTTTATCATTTTAAATTAACTTATACAAACCTATATGTTTCATTAATACGTTCTGTATTAGGCATGCTTTAGTCAACGACTAGCACTCTTTAGCTGTGTTTTATTAAAAAAATATTACATGCAAGCATTTCCAAATACATTTTTGATTTATGTTATGAGTCTGTTCTTTATGTGTAATGTACTAACTTATTGTACATACAGTACACAATATATGAACATTTTTTCAGTTACAAATGCCTAATATATGCTTTACAAGTACCACAAATAGGACCTACTGTATATTAGATCTTAAAATCAGTTTTATGTTCAAGTAATTAACTTTTTTTATTTAATAATCAACATATATATATATATCATAATAATCACTAAACATTCAAATAAAAAAAACATGACCAAATTATATAATTATACAGTCAGACAAGTCATTTTACTGTTGTCTTGTTTTAGAATTAATCTAATATCAACTCATATAAACCACAGAAAGTATTGCCATTGTTGCCTCTTGGAACCTTGATCCAGTTTTTGCCAGGTGACCTTTGGGTAAATTAAGAGAGACTATTCTTTGCAAAAAAACTACAGTAAGGCCTATAACCAGACATCTGATTTGTCACATGCAGACTGGTTGACCACTAAGCAGTCCTCCCTGGTCAAGGTCAGGTCATTCTGTTTGTGAGATCAAAGTCAGTGAAGCATTGCCTCTGGAGCCATTGTGCCTGTTTGGTATCCACACTGCCTTAAGGCTTCAGAGCAGTCAAAGCAGTTCATTTTCTGGAGCAAATGTGTTGAAACATACCCTAGCATGAAATGGATCCCCCCCACCAACTTAAAAGAATCCATAAAAACATTCATTAGCTGTAAAATAGAGAGGTGGTGTGTAAAAACAAATAAAACAAGCTATGACTCAAGGTCTCATGGGATCAATTAAAAAGACAAATTGCACACAGAAACTAACAGAGAAGCTGTTGAAAAAAGGAATTCACTTTTACTTAAGAGAGTATCTCTTTTGTGCGTCTTTGTCCCTAAACAGCCTGTAAATGCTATTAGTATACCTGTCGGCCTAAGTTAATGTGTGTTCATCCTGGTAACAGTTTTTCTGGAAGCAAAAATAGACATTGAGACATTTCTGGGCTTGGGTCATGTTACTAGCCAACTGTGACTTGGATTCCCCAGGTAGGGTTAGGGTTAGCCAGGCCGAGTTCTCTCAGCTCCCAGTAAACCAGGGACCTCTGAGACATCCTGGGTGTCTGCAGACTCACGGTTATATCAGTGAGGGACGCGCCTCTTTTCTAAATCAGCGCTGAATCTCCTGTTCGTCATATCAATAAACATTGATGGCTGTGTGAACCATTAGCTTGTGTGTAGCTTGGAAGTGCACAGCCTCCAATTCATGTAGGTCTTATACTATAAGTTATAGTCACTTAAAAAAGCAAAAACTTTACATCTCATTTTTATTACAATATATTCACATTATATCCTGTGATGCTTGTATAGAAGAATTTAGAATAATCTATTTATTTGCAAATTAAGGTGTTATTTAGAAAACCTTTTAATCTCTATTAAGTAGAACTATCAGTTGTTCATAGACTTGTCTTCACTCATATACAGTACTGTAACTCTATCAGTAGAGGGATGTGAACTGTATGTTCCTTCCTCTAACCTGGCTAGAGCCATCCATTGCACATTTCTGACAGACTGCAAGGTTACAAGCACCTGTTTGGCCACAGTGGTCACCCAGGCCATTACCAGCTGTGCCAGTGCAATTGTATTCAGCTTTAGTACCTTGGCAATTCCAGTTACAGATGGCTGTTGAAATTGCTGAGGAACAGGTGAGGTCTGGACCACAGGGCTCACTCCACATTCCAAACAGGATAATTGAACAATCTCAAAATATTTTCTTTTTGCCTTGTGGATTATGGATTTGTACGGCTAAGCTTTCCTGCTGCCCACCTGTGTACAACATGGCACAGGGAGCCTTTGTCTGCCATTAATAAAGAGAGAGAAGTCGGGCATAAGATCTTAAGATTGCTGTTCCCCAAGGCAAGTAGTAAACTTGTACTGATCCATCTGCATATTTATAGATCAATCACAAATGTTGAAAAGTACATCGATGGTGTATTTTAGGAAAACAAATGAAGAAGAAGAGACATAAGCATCGGTTGCCTTTTTTAACTTTTTTGCAATTGTAATCTTTTACAGCTTATTGACCTCTTGTTTTCTTTTGAATTTCACCATGTTTTGTCATTGTTCATTATTTTAAGAATGGAAGAGACAAGAGCAATCTAACCCTAGTTATTGTTCAAGCACTTAATTTGTGTATTTTATCATTTATTTCCTTTTACAATAATGTAGAATTCACATTTCCAGGTAGGGTTGTCAAGTTAGACAGTCAAAAGTGGTAACTCAAAGGCTATCAGGTCCCATATAGGACCCACATATTCATGTGGTTTGGCACCAAAGCAAATGAATAGAAGAAATTGCTTAAAAAATGTATAAGGGCTAAAGCAGCAATTGGGTAAGCACACCCTTCACCTAACTTGTGGCCTAAATACTGACTCCACCTTGGTGTGCTTTTGTTATACGAATTTTTACTTGGCTGTATGAGAAAAGGTTTTCTGTAATGCTGTTAAAGGAAGGTGGAGTCGTAAATTGTTGTGTTTGGCTAAACACTGCTAAACCCAGAGGGCCTTCAATTACAGAACACCCCTCCACTAAGATATGCTACAGGGAGTGTTACTTGGCTTCTGTGTTGTTACATTGGAAAACAAATCATTTGAAAGGAAGAAATTAAACAAAACAATAATCTTCTATTGAACTTCTTTTTGCTGTCATTAAAAACTCAGAATCTACAGTCAATGATTGTCAAAGTGTTGGTCTGTTTATCTGTTCTGGTAAGATTCATACTCTGTTCAGGTAAAACAAAATACTGTATGTGAAAAGGTGCTCTTAATATTTTGTTATAAAACCCTTTAGTTATACTGTACTAACACAGTTTGTGCTGAGTAAAGCTATGATAGTTAGGTACACCTTGGATTTAAAAATGTTTGCCACAAAATGGTATTGCTGTATAATTGTAACAATTGTTAAACATAAGTGTTTCTTTATATTGAATTAGAAGTGTATAAACCAGCCTGTATCAATTTAATGTGTAGCAGAAAAGACCTGTAGAAGACCAATTATTCTTTCCACAGACTAAAATAGAAAGTAATGAAAGAGGTGGATGGTGCGTTTGTTATAAATGTTCAAGTGGAATAAGTGTGGAGTAATCACTGTAAATATGGTCACATTTACTGTATATTAAGGTGCTGCTCAATAATATTTTAATACCATGATACAGTATTTAGTATATGGTTAATAAAGTTTAAATATGTTTCAGTGACTACTCAATACCATATAGTCTTCATAAATGGTTATCTTACTACTATATTTTAATATTCTCTCCATACTTTTTTATGAACACTTCTCTTTTTTCTTAACAATCTATATTAATAAAGTAAAACATAAAGTGTCTAAAAAATTCAAAGCAGCACTTTAATTATGTAAAGTTTTACTACAATCTGGGCCACACAGGTAACACAAGTTCTTGTGTTTGAGATGAATTGAAGTTAATTTTCATTTCACATACTGTAATTCTTTAAAATATAGGGTCGATCATTGGAACAATGAGAAGGAGCGTATCGTGCTGATCACGGATAATTCTCTGCTCATCTGCAAGTACGATTTCATGATGTTGAACTGTGAGCAGATGCAGAGGGTCCCACTGAACTTCATTGATCGCGTCTGCCACGGGGAATTCACCTTTCCCCAAAGGTCACTCATGTCGTAAGTATTCTTCCCATACTGAAGGCGTGTGGTGTGGTGATGTATTAAAAAAGAAAGACATGAACAGTACGGTAGGACACATAATGTTTCTGTGTTGATGCCGCCTTAAATCGCAAATGCCTAAAGGAATTTAAATGAAGAGGTTTGTGACGAAACTCACAGGCGGTTTACAGAGATAATATGTCAGCAGAGGGCAATAAATAATTTGAAAAGAATGGGACTTCTGTTCCAGGGTAAATAAAATGTGGTCTCTCATTCAGTTTAATTGCTATGATTATGAAAAGTAACCCACAAAAGAAGCAAGGGAGGAGTCCTGTGTCATTTTAGAAAAATTCACCGGTAACTGATTACATTTAGTACAGAGGGTAAAATAGAAAATATTCTGCAACCACAGAAGGTATTTTATTTTTTAGAAAAATGTAAAGCAGTATTTTCTGACTTTCATTTTGATGTTTAAAAAGTGGAACGGATCCATCCATTCATTTTCTTAACCACTTCATCCAGTAGAGGGTTGGCATGGATGGTGGAGCCCAGTAAGCATCAGGCACAAGGTAGGATATACACTGGAAAGGGTGCCAGTTCATCACAGGACACAACAGTCACACTCATCTGAGGGCCAATTTTTGCACAAGCCAGTTAACTTACCAGCATGTCTCTGGGCTGTGGGAGGAAACCAGAATATCCAGAGGAAACCCACGCAAAAATAGGAAGAACATACAAGCCTGAGATGTGAGGCAATTGAAATTGAAGCCAGGGCCCCAGGGTTGTGAGGCAGCAGTGCTATCCATTGTGCCACTGTGCCGCTCAGTGGAGCAGGTACCATATGATACAAACTTAAGGTTATAAACATGAGAAGGCCACTCAGCCCATCTAGCTTTTTTGCAGTTTGAACCTTATTGATCTAAGAATCTCATCAAGCTGTTTCTCGAAGGAAGAGAAGTTATCAGCTTCAGTCACATGCCTGGGTAGCCTGTTACATAATCCCACAACCATTTAGGTAAAGAAGTACCTGCACTTCCTCTTCTCAGTTTTAAGTGCACTTCAGAGTAGTTTCCTCTTGCATACTGTGGTTCGTGTTTCAGTTTTCATTCTTTATAAGTCGGTTGGGTTGACTTTTTCAGTGCATCTAAGGATTCCTCATAGTGTTCTTCATTCAAGACTAAAAAAGTTTAAGTAACTTTTAGCCTGTCAGTGTAGCAAATACAGTTTTTTTGTCATTTCCCAACAGTTGTGAAGTGTGTCGTCTTTCTAATAAGCACACCTGAAGCCAAAACTTGTGAGAAAATCAGCGGTGAAACTAAGATTACTATTATCATTTACCTGAAGATTAATCCTTTAACACAACTGAGATTTAGGATGAATATCCATGAAGTCTAGATATGAAGATAGAAGTGACTTTGTTTACTCTATCTTGAATGTTTGATGGAAAAGGTAGCATCACACATTATATTGAAAAAATGGCTGAGAATAATACTTTCATAAAATAATTTATATAATCAGGAATGCCAAATGCATTTAATTGCATTTATTTTCCTTAAACCAACCTTCATTTCCAATGCAGCAAGGGTATGAATATATTCAGCTATAACTGTAGGGAGATTTTTCATTTATGTACTTTTATTGTTTTAATCCACTGTGTGGCTCTCACCATCAAATGTGAGCCAGTTAGCAGCTCTATTTAAATGCATTGTGACTCAAGTTTGCTACCAAAAACATGCAGTTCAGAAACAGAAGACCTTTAAAATCTTGATCTTCTCCATTTTGAAACATTGAAAATAAGCTCACCTTTATTATTTTTAAGCATTTTGTCTTGAAATCAAATACAAGAAATCATGTTCATTTGCAGGGGGTTTGCATAATAGAATATTGAGTGACTTTTACCCCTCATGTTTTATTACTAAAGTGCTTTATTAAACAAAAAGCAAGTAGACTTGACTTTTGAATACAGTACATCTCCCTGTGTTCTCTTTAAAAAATCTGTTGGCTGCATGAAAGGAGCCTGTGACCAAACGCCTGTTTTTGGAATATAAGTGTTTCTTGCCAAGTGTCTCACAGACTCCAGGTGTGTACAAGTTAAGATAATGTGCTGCTGGCTGTTTCAGTGCTGTCAAGATACACAAAAAACAACGGTTTGTTTCTTTTTTCTGAACGAACGTCAGTAGTTTCCTCATGCTTTATCAGGGAAGCGTGTGATAGTGGTGACAGATCACTGTTCTTTTTCTGGGGCTGGCAAAGCAAGAACCTGCAGCAAGTATGTTTTTGACTTTATAAATAAGCATCTTTCTACACAAAGAAACTGAGATTGAAAAGTTTATCCAAGTTCTTCATTGTTGACAGTGTAGTGGAGTTTTGTATTTTACTTCCATATGTGTTTACATACTAAATGTTCCTCATTGACAATTTAAGTTTTGCACCAAGTAGTTTTAGGTTCTTCTGCAGCCTCATGGTCTTTCTTCCGGCTCACATCTGTCAGTGAGGTCTCAGAAAATTATCCCTGTGGTGTGTCTGAAGAGAAAGTAACAGTTTCAAAATGTTTTTTTTCCTGTTTCAATCTGTCTAGACAATGTAATTACTGTGCTACCCAGTGAATTATTAAAATAAATATTTTTCAGTTTGAAGCGCCTGTTGCCCACATTTTAGGATTCCTTTCCCCCTAAAAGGACCTACATCTTTCTTCTTTAGTGATGTGTAAAAAATATGTTTATCAGGCTGAGACAGAATCATAATGATATGTAGATTGAAAGGGAATGTGCTGTGCCTTTGTATATAAAGGTAGTAAAACAGTAAACAGGAGTGGCGCCATGACACAGATCTTGAAGACACTTCTGCTCCTGCAGCAAGTTACTGTATTCGATTTTTAAATAACATCATCCTGGTGGTAATTAGTATCCATGCATCTGAGAATTAAGGAATCATCACTGAGCCTTTAAAATGCTCAAGGTCATCATATCTTGCTTGATTTTAATATAAGGTTTTGTCAGATTAATTAGGTCATTAATCAGCAGTAGGTGGCCTGTGAACTTAATCAGCAAGTTAGTTTTAACAGCAGGAGGTGCTGTTGACCATTTTAACAGCAGATTCAGTTTGCAACTAAGAACACTGTGATGCTATTTAGGGAGTAATGAGTGTCCACACCTTATATACATGTAAATAAAGTATTTAAAATATATCTTTAAGTTTAATTCAGATATATTTAATTAGTAAAAATATCTTAAAGCATTGTTAATGCACTGTTCATACTGTATATCTAGTGAATAGCGTTCACCAAAAAACAACAAACAATACTGGTTCCTATTTTGGTGCATTTTCAATGGCTTTCAGTGTGTGATATATATAATCTAACCTTATCTAACCCAATCTAACCAAATGCTTGTTTGACTTTTTTGTTTTGTTATATAAAACTATTTTCTGAGCTATGCACACAACAGGCATTCACTTATGAATGATGTAATTTAAAAAATATTGTAAAAGGCTAGTAAAACAAAGAATGAGAAAAAACAGATCTTACATATTGTTAAACACTGTGAATCACCTCACACACCTGTTTGGGAGCACTGAAGTGCGGTTGTCAGCCACCGGCAGAATTCTCTCTCTGTCTAAATGTTTGTCTGAATATACTCACAGGGTTCTACAACACAAGTTAACCCTTTGTGTTGAAAAACTCTGTTGTTAAGTATAGTTTTGAGAATGATATACTGTATGGATTGAGAAGCGATTGTGTAACAGACATTATGACTGCAGTCGGCCGTCTTAAGTGATGTGGGGTTGGTGAAAAACTTTTCACATTTAGTTTTGAATGGTTTTGTTTGAATGTCCATTCTTATTGCCCTGTATAGTAAGGAAATAGCTTTCACACACACATATATACAATATACTATATACATCTCTTCAGATTAAAATGATTTCTGCACTAAACTGTTTTTTGAAAAAATAAACTGTAATGAATTGAAAGGAAAACTTACATGCAAATGCTTTCTGTTTTAATCCCCAAAAGGCATTGGAAATACAGTAGCTCAACAATGTTGTCAACAATGATGTTACAAAAAGTTTCTACATTTAACATAATAATTCACACTATCTACATTATCTAATCATTTAATTGTATTTGTTGTTTATCCTTTTTATATACTGTATTATATACCATCCTCTGTTATTTATAGTGTGAAAAGTATTCATAATTTATTGTGAACTAAAGAACATGGGAGAAGTATTTAACTGTTAAAATGTAAAATTAGAATTTGCTTCACCTGCAGTTTTGGAAAATTAACTCTGAACTGTGTGTCTTTTTTCCACAAAAAACATGCAGAAACATAAGGAAAAATGTCTTACACATACAGTAAAATGTATTAAGAAGTCTTAATAAGCGAAAATCCTGGGATATGCTTTTAAAGGAGCAATACATCAAAACAGCCGAAAGATTTTATTTCAATTCCTGCTTAGTAGATGTTGTTTCTTATGGATGCCAGTTCATTAATCAGTGGCTGATGGACTGAAGATGAAAATCTTTGCTTTATAAGCCTGTGTCTTTTGCTAGATCCATCAGAGGCATAACTGATGAGCGCAACTTCACTGAACCAAGACCACATTTGTTTGATGTTTTTTTGTTCTGTTAGAGTCCATTAGTATGGTATGAAGCAACAAAAATGACAAATGGAACATTGGCTGTTTAGACAGCTTCCTTATATTTTTTTAAATACAGATGTGCACTTTTACATGTGCAGCAGCTCCCCTAATCAGCCATGACACATATTCAGAAAAACAATAGTTTTTTTTTTCTTTTTTAATTGTGCAACCCATAATGGTTCATTCATCCCCTAAGGTGTGGGAGAGAGAACTAAGAAATACAACCTGGTCACACCTGCTTCCATCCTTTTTTTTAAAGAAGCCATTACTCCATAACTCTCAAGGTCATTACCTCAAGGGCTGGAGCTAGAAAATGCTGAGGAGAAGAGAGGGGTGTTAGCAGGCTCTTGTTATAGCATAGTATTGAGCAATCAGGAGTTTTGTTTATTGGCTTGCAGACAATGTGGGACATGCGCCATGACAGCTGAAGCCTGCTCAGATATTTATCTTGTTTGTTGACTTACGAGTGCACAGCTTTCACAGTGGCATAAGAATTTCTGTCTGTCCTTACTGAAGAAGTGTGTGCATTTTCCTTTTTTTAAGGTTGGGGAAGGAGGCAGGGTGGTGGTGGGGCATGTGTTTGTGTTTGGAGGTGGGCTTTCAACTGTTTTACATTTTTTGCTTTAGAATCCCACAGCTGGCTAAACTTTTTTTTTATTACAAAGTTTACAGAGTGATTCTTTGCCTTGTTAGTGACAGATTTGATTGATTATTTTTTATATTGTTGCAGTTGTGCTCTTTCCCTTTTTCTCCATCGATCCTTCCCTGTCCTTCTCCTTCATTCTGTATCTCTCTTTCTCTCCTGTCTTTTTCCACTTTCTCTCACTGTGTAAATAGTGAAAGTCCAAGCACCAGCCCTATGTACATGATTAGTGCTTTCAGGATGTTTGGGTGTATGAACTAGGCCTGCCTTGCCTGTCCAGGCTGGTTTGCCCATAGCGATAGCTTACTTGTGGAATTTTGTGGTTTTGATACAATGGAAATCACTGGGCGTTCAGACAGAAAGGATGTGTACTGTATATAAACACCTTCCCCTAGCATGCTTTCCTGAGGTGAAATAAGACCTTTCGATATCTGAAGCCTACATTTTTGTGTGTATGTATTATATATATAATTATGTATGTTTGTCAGTGAGGTCCCCTTTTGTCTTGTCGTTTCTCAGTACAAAAGGTTTGTAATGAAGGAGTGCTCACTCTCCCATTGTCATCTTGAAAACGGTTGTGCAAAGAGAGTTGGAAATTGCGACATTATAAATAACACTCCTCCCTACGTTTGAGATATATGGTTAGGAATTATTTATAACACAAGCTCGGCAGGATGTGCTCTTGTCTGGTCACAACAGGGTCTTGAGTTTTTGATAGTTCAGATCGCCTTCTCCTATAATTTAAATGATCTAAACATTAAATGGTGGTCTTTGGCTTATTTACCAAAACTGCCTAAACAGCAAGCGCTGAAAAGCTCTTTTCCCAAGTGTTTATTTTGAAAATTATTGCATTTCAGGTTTTTAAATGTTTATTAAGATGCAGACATAACCAAGGCAACCAGGTAACATAATTACCTGCTGTACCATAAATTGCCCATATGAAAATGATGTCTTGTCACTAATTTAAAAACCTAGTGTACATATCATTATCATACCAGAAAACATTCTGCACAGATCATTATGATTTCAGCTCACAGACAAGTGAAAAATGACCATTTTACTGTTACCTTTTTAAGGCCCTTGTTTAATGTGATGTTTTCAGTAGTAAAAGACTATGCCGGAGGAGGAGGGTGGGGATGGGACTGCTGTGCTCAACATTCTTTAAACCTCTTAATCCTTCTCTTTAAACAAGCAGTCACAGACAAAAGCATGTGATCAGTTAAAATCCCACGAAAAAAACTAAACTAAGAAAAAAACCCACAAAAAAGTGACTTCTAACATTTTATGAATACATATCTGTAAATAAGTTGTATTGATAATAAATTGTTTTAAATTTGTTTTGGTTTATGTCATTTGTAGATCTACATTTGGCAATGCATTCCCATATTTATACATTTTAAATCGAATGCCTTTACGCTGCTCTAACCAGGTCATGATGCTCAATTGTCATGCGATTATTTCTAACCTCTCTGCCTCTTGCTCTTGGTGATGGGGTCCACAGCACAACCTCTCATCCTTGTCATGATCCCTTGGCAATGAGTAACGTAGGGCCAACACTGACAGAGTGAAATATCTTCTATCCACTAAGAATAGAAGATATTTCACTAAGGAAATATCCACTAAGGAAAGTCTGGTCTCGTCATATACTGTAGACTTCAGTAACTCACATTAGGGTATGTTTTAGATATTTTTGCCCAGCAAGTACAACACAAAGACTTGGCTTTTAGTAGAAAAAAACGTATGAAATAAAAAACAAAGCTTGCCCAATCTGTTATTTTTCAGCGTGCACCGTACAAAATAAAACTATGAAGAAAGCCCTCGTTTGTTCCAGGGCTTACAATTGCAATTGCAAAATGAGTTTAGGGGCTCTTCTTCCTTTATTGATATTTTGTATTGAACTTCTTTTCAACAAACATAAGTAACAGACAAGGATTTGATTCATTGCTAAAAACACACACAAGAAATGAAATGCAAACTCTAAAATGCTTCCTCAGAAATAATGGTTAGTTATTTATGAAAAGTCTGACTTTTTGCACTTTTACTGCATGAATATTTCTGTGAACTAATTGCTGACCAGTTACATTATGAAATGCTGAAGTTCTCATTTCCTACTTGTATTTGATATATGAAATCATGCTGGTTTTAGCTATTTTAACTCAATTTTTCATACTGTGTGTATTGACGTTGCTTACTAGCTTAATCACACTGGGCCCTATATACACATAAGCATCTAAGTGCTGAGGCAATAGTGAAGAGTACCTACAGGTAAGAGAGTACCTACAGTAAGTGTTTTGAATATAGGGTGTACTGTCTTAAAAGGGTATTAAAAACCAAGGAAAGGGTTTGGCTTTATTTGTTGGTTTTTCCATTATTATTTTCTTATAATACAAAATTGCCTGAAGCAACTTTTAATTGTTGTTTACTTTGATTTTAAAAGAGGTTCTTGTTTTCAGCTTTTTTATTGAAAACCTTTAATGAAATTGGCAATGAATGTTGTTTTTATGATTATAAACTACTTCACTCCATATTGTAAATAAGGGATTTTTCTGTTTTTTCATGTAATACACTAGTATAAAATTATAGTAGTATATTCTTATTTAGGACTAATTTAATTAGTGCACTACACAGTGTACTCGACACTGCTGTGAAACACTTTATCATGTATATCTGCGGATCAGGGTATAGAGTTTAAGAACCCTGTCCAAGCAGAGTTTATGCTTATCCAAGCAGAGTTTATTTAATCTGTAAATTCAGTTTTAGAAGACTTGCATAGTTATCAAATTTAGTAGTTCTGTTTGTGCAAAAAGTGAGCCATTCCTAAATGCTAATAGGAACTTAGTACACTAGAGTTTAGTATGAATTAAGAAAATCAAAATCAGAAGAGCAATTGCAAACATTCAGATTTACAGTAGAAGTGTATAAACCTGTTATTTCTCATTAATCATTGTATTGACTTATTCATTTTTGTATGCAATTGTAAATAGTAAATTTACTATTTCTACTAAAACATTGTTTTTTGATTTAGTATTATGCTGATTTATTTAACTTTTATTACAATTAACATTTATTTGAAGAAGAAAAAACACACACACACAAACTAAAACAATGTTATTTAGTAAACTTAATCCAGTACCCAGAGACTAGGTATAATGAAACACCTCAAGTATTTGGATGTTGAAATGCAAATTTACTTTTTTCTGTTTATGGGCAAGTTTAAACTTAGTAAAAATGAGTACACTTCCAGTTTTCTGGAAATTGGATCTGTAAGGGGGGGTGGGGGTTGCAGTAGGGTTTGTGTGATGGAGAGGGATCTGATTCAACTAATCCAAATAAGATTTGAACCTTTGACTTTGTAGCCCTGAGGGGACTACAGAGGCAATGCATCCACACCCTGAAAGTGAAAAGAAGAATCCCCATTTCTCAGTAGCCTTTAAGTTTAACAGACCACTGTCAACGGGCAAGGGGTGCAGCAAATTATCAGCAAATCTGGCACAACCCATCCAGCCTGCTGCTTTTCTGGAAAAGCTACCAGGTATAGGATACAGTTTTGGAGAACACTGGCAAACATTCATGCCTTGTGGATAAAGTATAGTCAAATTTACAAACTTAGTGCTAAGCAGCGATGGACAAACTGTAAATAGTGCATTGTATAAGAGCTCTTTGTAATGGAATGATGCCAGTGGAATTTCAGTTACTGAATATGTTGTGTTTAAAAGCTTGCTCTTGGTGCCAAGCTATGAATTTTCCTCTGAGGCTTACTTAAACTTAAATTGTAAAAAGAAAATGTGCCCAAAGGTGTTTTTTTTTCTCTTAATCTTATTTATTAAAAAAGGCGGGGGGGGGGGGGGGGTTGGAGTTGCATATTTGTACAATTGACAAACTTGAAATTGCCTTCAAGGGTAGTAATTAAACATGGAATCATCTTTTAAAATTGAGGCAAAGGTAAGTATTAATCCATCCATAAGCAGTCTTTAACTAACTTCTAAACTACTCAAGTTAACAGACCAAACACTTTTGCAGATTTTGTTGATAAAGGAGTATTTTACTTTTTTATTTTTAATGACATTTGTATGGAATTATAAGATGGGTGTGTCAACTATTAAGTTCTGTCTCATGGAAACCTCTTTTAATCTGGAGAGCTGTAAAAATGTGTCCATCTTTTGTCTGAATTTGAGTTCATTGGCAAATAGCTGTGACACTACTATAGTTTTGTTAAGTAATCAAAGAGTACTCTTTTTACAACTCATGGTAATTACTTATGATCAGTGACCCTTATTAATACTGCTAATAAATTCAAGAAGACTTATTTGGTAGCACATTCAATGTGAAAGATCTAATACAAAAGGGAATAACTAGTGAAATCTCATTTCATTCATTCATTTCTTCTCTTACTTTTTCTGAATGACTTCACACTCTTTCTTTCCACCTGTGCAGGAGAGAGGGGGAGGGACTGCGGGTTTACTGGGACAGACTGAGGGAGCCTACATTCACCTCTCGCTGGAACCCCTTCACTACTGACTACCCCTTCTGCACCTTCACTTCCCATCCAGTGAAGGACGCGAGTGAGAAATTTGCAGCCATATGTGAAGTAAGTGTATCAGATGCATCAGACGTACCAGACGAATCAGACGTACTTTTAGCTTTTTCAAAGAATGCTCTTTTAAGTGATTTGCAATGGAATATTTTGCACACTATACAGTATATCTGCAAAAAAAGTGAAGGAATCAGATACTGTACAGGTAGAAGGTGACAGACTGAACCCTATGTGATTCTGGGGAAGAGCAGAGGGTGGAAAGCATCCTGTTATTTTTTTCTAAAACAACAAAGTGAACAGGTGTAAGTAAAAAAAAGTCCAAAGCTATTCACACTTAATCCTTTAACGCAGTCCATCTATCCATTGGTGTCCATCCTGGTGCTGGAGGGCTGATGTGTCTGTAGGTTTTCTAGGTCTCTTTGTAGCGCCAGTATTTGAAGAGCTGGGAGAAGTAGTTAATATGGTCCTACTAAGCCAATAATAAGCTGCTTTAGGTGAAGAATAGAGTTGAAATGAAAACCAATAAATACAGTGGTTCACCATGACCAGGATTGGACACCTCTACTTTAATGAGTAAAGCTTGTTCTCAGTTAGTCTTTTTCAACTCTACTTATTTCTCCTGAGGCTGAATTGAGCACCGTAGTGACTGATTGCCTAACTAAAGAAAATGAGGCGTGTGTCTACATTTTCGTGGTTGTTAATTAGCCAATTAAGTAGCTCAAGGAAACCAGCGCTCCAGCCACAAGGGATAAGGATGTGGCAGCCTTGGACTGTTTCAGGCGTTTACTGTACATATCATCAAGGCCTTCTTGATTCTTCCAGAAATACATTTCCACCTCTAATTATTAATTATGTAATGTTAATAGATTAACTGATTTTAGCATATCACGGGAGGTTGTGATTTATCTGTCAAACGCCGGAGCTCACAGGATTAATGTGGTGTGAAAAGTGTCTTTCTGAGCTTGCCCATACAAAAGTGGTGTATGTATCCAGTGCATAACATACTACAACAATTTACAGCACAGATCACAATCCAGTCAATGTTTTTACAGCAGGGTGGACTGTGAGAATGCAGTCATTCATATAAAGAAATCACAGCCCAAAACTACAGAATTAACATCATTTCACCCCACCTAATGTTAATTATGAATCTGGAGCTGCAGTTTCATTTGTGAAGTACAGTATATCAGTATTTTTAATCAGTATGTTTACGATTGAAAATGATGTAGGTGTTTATTCTTGATTGCATAATGATTCTTTAATTTTAAAACAGCTCAAATAAATACAGATATAAACTATTCTTTTATTCTAGTAACTTGTATAATGCTAGCTGTACCAGCATCCATGCATTTCATAATACAGATATTTTAGCTACAAATATATAAAAGTTCAGAATAAACCCTGCAATCCTATTAAAACCCCTTTTAATACCTTGGTAATGTTTTACTCTTTGGTACTGTTTGTAGATGAGAACAAATTAAAATGTGTATTACTCTATATGTATTTTAATATTTGGATTTTAAAAGTAAATTATCATTTATTTGTTTTATATTTTAATCTAGAATTATTAAAGTACCAGAATGCCATACCTTAGTGGGTGATCTGTGTGGTAGGAGTATTGGTGTCAGTTATTACTGTCAAGTGAACTGTTTAATTTGGTAGTGGCCAAAGGTAGTGATGACTGATACTTCTTGGAATTCGTTTCTTAAGGATTGAAATTAAATCATGTAAGAATCATCAATATAACCAGGAAGTGAGTTATGCTGCCTCACCCTTTTCTCTTTGAAGAACAAATACAAGTGATTAAACAAACCTATATTTTACATGAACAAAGCTAACATATTTTCATAGAATTTTGGCTCAAAATGTAGGTTTAAATTTTGGGTAGGGCCACTCAAATGTTGTGTAGAAATGTTCCATTCATACAGTTCTGCATAGATGGGCAAGATAATACAGTAAGTATATGTGAAATTTCTAATTAAGAAAAATCACAGAATGGTTAATACAGAATGGGGTGACAAATTTCAAATATACATTTTATATTTATTTAATTATAATATTCATTTGTTGAATTCTATGATTTAATATGTTACAGTATATAAAACTAGTATTGATTAAAGTTGGAGTGTATTTTAATAAAAAATAACAAGATTTATTACAATGCAGGATTCATTATTTACTTTTTCATTTCCTTATTAAATCAGATTATGGTTCTAGTTAAGAAAATCCACTGAGTGCTTCATCTTTCCATTTAATGCTTTTGTTTTACTTCTTTCAAAATGGTCATTTTTTATCATATTTTAAAACAACCTGCAGAGAACTGAAGGAAAAATTGGTCTGGCAGCAGGGCATTTGCCTTTGCCACAGAAGGAGTCAAATATCATAATGTCTTGCACCTAAACCAACCTTCTGATGGTGCCCCTGCATCTTTCCAATGTGCTAATCCCACAGCTACAGCATTTCAGAGAGCAGCTGGTCCAGGCAGCTCAGAAGGCTCATGAATGGAAGCCAGTCCCAGGAAAAGCCAACGGAGTTCTAGTGCTAAATCAGTCCATCCTCATCGAGACCTATGTGGGGCTCATGTCCTTCATTGGGAACCAGAATAAGCTGGGCTACTGCTTGGCTCGGGGCAACATCGGCTTCTAGGTATCCTGTTTTGATGCTTTTCCTCTCTTTTGTAAACAGCGTGTCCTGGGGTGACTATGATTCCTGTTTCTATCAGTGGGTTACTGTAAAAAAAAGTCACTAAAATACACTATAGTTTAATGCATTAACACAGTTGGTAGATGATGTTTTAAATTACGGTTTAAATATTGTAATGACTTATTAGTTCCAAACAAGCACCTGCTTGCAGTCATGACTAAAAAAAGCCACCAGAGATTCAACCAGCAACAGAAAGAATGGTGTTCACCTCGACACTGATGCAATGGAAGATGAAAAGCACCCAGGACTTGTACTGCGAGGCAATGCTATACACCATTGAACACTTACACGTATATACATACAGTATGCATTGGATACTAATGCAATACACTGGATCTCATACCTGGATTTATGAGATATAAACTAATTTTGTACTGTACCAAACCCACACCACATGAAGAACTTAAACAATGTTAGCAATTTTGTTCTGTGGTTTCCCAAAATAATATGTACAGTTATTGTGGCTCAAGGTCATAATTTTTACAGTGTAAGATCTTGAGTCAAGCAGGACAGGTTGCATCTAATTTAAGTAAAATAGCTTTACATCAGAATACTGTACTTCAGGTAGATTTGCCAATGCTTTTAAAATTCAACTTAATAATAAAAACTACCATGAAGGGGCACTTTATAAATTACATCATTAATCATTACTGATTGTACGTATCTCTGAGAAGATAGCATAGACTTATTAATGAGTTTAATTTACAAATAACATTTTTCCATACTTCTGTTTTTTAAAGGAATGTGGATACAGTACATTTGTTGCCGTATGTATCATTTTTAATATTTAATAATGACTTTCAAGCTTTAAACACGTAACATATAAGATGTTTGTATGTTTGTATGATCTTGATGGACTTACAATGTGAAAAAAACATTCAGTATGCCAATAAAGACAGCATTGAATAAGTAATGTATTTTGCATGAACTTTTCATTAGTCACATTTCTTCCATGTGCAGTCTTCTCACAGCTACTTCACATGTCAATCTGCGCTTTGAAAGCCAGAATACCATGGAAGTATATTGTCATTTCTGTGGAACAGTTTGTAGAGTGTGATTACTGTAATGTGGAGCACTGGAAATTCCCAGAATTATCACCTTTCTGATTTAGTTCAGTTTGTAATTTGTTGTAGAATTGCTGCACTGGTGCTGAGGTGTTTTTTATCCATGCAGTTTCAAATAGTGAATGTTTCTGTATTTGTCTTTACTTCAAAGAAGATCTGAGGAATATTATTTCAATAGTATAATATAAAACAAATATGTCTGCCCACTCAAATAACTCATTTTCCTTTTATTGTATTTTATATACTAGAGAAATATACTGTTTTATATGCTATACATTTTGTGTTTGTTTTGTTAACCATTTTTTGCCTTGATTTATTATTTATCCCCACAATCAAGAATAGCACATTATAAGCAGAGGAAAGAGGGATGTCTTCAGTAAATACAGAAGGAGTACGTTTGTAATATACAGTAGGTCCTGTCCAGCAGTGATTATACAGTAGCTGGCATTATGTGTACGGGGTAGTGATCTCAGGCTTATAACAGCATACAGTACTTCTGATTAGATATTAGAATGCATCTCGCTATACCAGTGTGATCATTGACAATACTATATGCTGTTCCAGTTTTGATAAAGATCTGTCTGTACAGCAAAATATGCAAACATTCCCACCTCTAAGGAACTAGAAGTATAGTTTCTAATTTAGTTTCATGGTAGAGCAACCCACAGAACTCTTTTCATATTCATTTTGTTTTCTCTGTCTGTTCTATTGAAGCCAAAGATTGATTGTTAAAACTGAGTGAGTGATTCTCATTAATGTAAGTAGATATCCTTACATTCGTTTTAATCCATACAATTCTATTTTCCCAGCTTAGTAACAATTTATGTGCCATCTATAATAAAACACATCATTGCAGCACAAGTATGGCAGCAGTGTAAAGTAATGGTTAAGACTTTCAACCAAAGGTTTGAGGGTTCAGCTGCTGGGTGGGACTCTGTTGTTTGACCTCTGAGTAGGGTACTTAAATCAGATTGCTCCAGTAAAGCTAAAATGTTTAAAATGTTTTTTTTCTTCAGAGTGCGAGGTATTGTTTTATTATACTTAACCAATTCATTTTTATTTTAAAATTAATGTGGGTATCACAGCTATGTCACATGTTAATAAGTACTTTAAAGGCCAGAATAGCATGGAATTTTAACTTTATATTTAAATCATAAATAATCTTATGACTCTCTCTGGCTCTTATTAAGCGTTTACAGGTTAAAAATGGTACATTAATTGTACATGAGGTTGTATGCCAATTGGAATATTCAGAAAGGAAAATATCACCATCTGAACAGTACTTTTTTGTTATTAATTGTGTTGTGTTTTGGCTAAAGAAGTTATTTAAGTTGCCAACTCACAAGTTTACAGTGGAAAGGTACAATTATTAGCACTGAACCATAATTGAATCAGGGGTCCAGACCCTAGGATTAGCAGAAATGCTTCAGCAATATAGATTGCACAGATAGCACAAAGTGCATTGCCAAATCAGGTTACCAATAGTGCAGCTGACATGTTCAATATCTATTTAAAAGACAAGCTATTTTTTAAAGAAGGGTTTAAAATTGTTAATGACTGAAAAGAGTACCTTGGCTTTTTTGGTTTAATTTTCCATTGTGTTGTTGAATACTTGCAGGCTCGTACTTGTGTCAACAGCTCATTCAATGAAAATTCAGAAGACATTTGTGTGTATCGTGTTCTGACATAGTGTAGCACAAAATGTGATATCTTACTGTTAATGCCAAGTCTTATTTGTTCATGTCGACGTTTATTCCCAAAAGATCCCATAAACAAGACCACGTGACAACTGTTTATTGTGAAGCCCGCAGAACATAATGTGATTTTAATAGTTAAAAACATTTTCTTTATTACACTAGGTATTGTAAATATAGTGGTAGGTTATCAAAGAAGATTAATTTAATTCTTTAAGTCAAATCATTCAATGCTATACCTGGCTCCTGTTAGTCTTCAGAGTTTGAGTGTTTGGGACTTGGAGTTTACTGTGAGGTTAATGCAATTCAGTGAGTCAGTGTCATCCAATACCTGTTGTAGAACCACATTTTTATCTTTAAAAGCAGCTTTAAAAGTAGTTTTTTTAAAAGCTATTTACAGGAAAAATAAAAAAGATGACTAAATTATTGAGCCCAGTGGAACTCCAGACTTAATGAACCCTACTTCAGAACTGAAACCCCGAAGAGAGACAACGTGTCAATGATCATAAAGGTAAGAGTTGAAGCATGTAAGAGCAATGTCTGAAACTCCAAACAGTCTCAAGATAAGAAAGTAAGATGTCATGATTAGCAGTCTCAAAAGCAGGGACTAGATGAAGAATAAGAATAAATAAAGAACCGAAGGAGATCAAGTGTAGTTACTTTGCTGTGAAATCAGATGAGAAGGGTATAAAGAGGTTATTTGCAATGAGATGGTTGTTTAGTTGAATTGTAACAGCACATTCTAAAGTTTTTATTAGAAAATTAAGTAAAAACTAGTTTGGATACATGTCAGGGATTTAGGTTGTCCAGACCCATATTTGTTTTTTAGGCACAGGATTAGCTACAGCCATTTTAAAGGCCATTGGTACTCCAGTGCTCAAGGAGCATGTTGAGGATGAAAGGAGAAAAGGGCAGAAATGCAGGATTAAAAATAAAACAGTAGGGAAGGGATTAAATAGGTTAATTAATTAGGCAATTAAATAGGTTCCTGAAAATCCCTTTCTATTAAATAGTTAACTTTAAACTGGACTATATTGCTCCTGGTCTTCTGACAAACCAGGGTACTTTCAGGTTAAGTCCTAATAATTGCCCACTGCTGCTGGATTTGTGCTTTTATACAACATGCTTTTTCTGTCTCCTTGAAGGTTAAGTAGATACCATGTGCAAAATTTTGAAATTACATTTCAAAATGTATGTCTTCATGTGGGTTTAAATATCTCATAGTAGAATAAGTACAACTGTTTCTCTGTTCTGCATTTTCTGACCATTCCACTCAATGACTTGTTCTAAAGGATAGCTGTTGGATCTCAAAGGAGAGGATTTGCATAGCAGGAGAAACCACACAGTTGGCAGCTTTCTTTAACAATCTGCACTAATATTTTGTCTTGACTACAGGACCTTTCTGATGGATCTGATTTTGAAACAATTATCGAGGGCTGTCATTGAATGTAATGAATATTATTACATGCCTTTTTTCACACCAGAATTAACTGAATGATTTAGATTGTTTTTTGTTCACCAGCACCTACTGTGAGGGTTCTTCCTAATATTCAATCTATAACACAGTTATTCAGTCCTACTGGTTTGTTGGAAACAGTTAAAATAAGGGTTATATTTGTATATGACATTGTTTATTTGCTGATTGAAATAAATGTGAGCTCAAAATTTAAAATAAAATGAAAATCGATAACTAACTTGCTCTACCATTGGGTTTTCCAGGGGTAGTTAGAAATGATTGCTTGGGAGAGCTTAAGCATTTTTTTCTTGCAAATTAGAAAATTTATTTTAATTACAATTATTTGACAATTACAGTTTAAAAAACTAGTTTTCAGTTGCTTAATCCCAACAACTAACAAAAACAGCACTGAAGAGTAGCTTTAAGAACATATTTCTTCTCCTATTTAGTAATTTTTTTGTGTTCTCACAAAGTGGTGATTTATCAATGAAACATTTTATAGTTGTTTTTAATGCATGTGTAAACTTATGTGTTCATTTTGTGTCAGTCTAACACAGGGCTTCCCAGTTCAGGTCCACCTTACCTCTGCGTTTCCCAGGTTTTGTTTCATCTTGGTTCTTGATTATTTAAATTCGAGCTTTAACTAGTTATTGATTCATTAGAAGTTTTTAAATCATTCTCAGCTCTGTAACTGTAAGAGATTTAAATTTACGTATCAATGTTTAAGTAGCTTGAAAACTGCAAACCTTTTGAAACTGAGCACAGTTATACAGATATACTCACATTATAAGCGCAATCAAAAGGTTCAATCACGCAACTTGAATCAAAACCAGCTGATACCAGAATAACATACCAGGTTTGAAAGACCGGCTTTAATACATTGCAGGACACACAGCCACCCAAAATCATGCAGCTCTACCCAAGAGTAGTATTCAGCAGCATTTACATGTGGGTGTGTTCTTCCTCCAACATTACAGACAAACACACGTGACTAGAAGACAAATATTGTTCTTTTATGGTGGTTAAGAATTAAAATAAGAACATCTTCGAGAAATAAAGAGAAATTGCTTCCCTTAGGCTTGTGTATCATCTTCTCAGTCAAGTTTATTTTTTTTCTGTTGATGGATTCTTCTTATTCTTTTGCCACCCTCATTAATTGTATTATGTAGTGCCTCAGTGTTTCATTCCCATGGAGGGCCTAATTGCATGTTTTCAGTAATTACATGAAGGTATCTGTTAATAACTCTGAACATTTCCCATGATGAAGAGTGGTGCACATTTGCTACTCGCACGGGAAGCGCAAAGAAAGTGGATTAAAATGCGCTGTAAAGTGTTTAGACCCCATAAAAATAAAACACTCTGGTTTCTTGATGCTTCCCGTTTGAAAAAAAAGTACATTACGGGACAATTAAGAAACACAGCTCTAGGTGCTCAGGGTGAAATGGGATCTATGACACCTCCATCTACTTTGCCCCAGACACACCTGTCCTGTCCAGTATAAGGATTGGATATCTCTGGATTGAATACTAATGTGCTCCAACACTACCTCACAATGGGTTGCAAACAACATGATATGTTCCAGAATTCATTTAACCCAAAAATATCAATGAAGGTAAAGTGGAATTAACCAATACTGATAGTGTATAATGTGATGCTTTGTAAATGATTAAAGACACTTGGCTTCCCATCCTGATTCATC